AGTGTTTTTAAGCAAATATTTTCAGTGGCAGCATTGGTACTGTCGAATTCACAAATTATAAATGACTAAAAAGTAGAAAAAAAAACAACTAAATAGCGGCTTATGATACGCAGCGGGTCGGCTCGATGTAAATAAAACATGTAAAGTATTGAAAAAAAATTCATAAAAAACGTTTTAATAACAAGCTTTTATGCAATGATGCACTAAAAAGTAGAAAATAAATTATAGACTACTTTTTAAATAACTATAAAGAAAAGCGTGAGTCTCTTCCTAAACATTAGTAAAGGTATCCAATAGATATTAAAGTGACCCACGCTTTGGTTTATAGTTATTTAAAAAGTAGTCTATAATTTATTTTCTACTTTTTAGTGCATTATTACACAAAAGCTTGTTATTAAAGCGTTTTTTATGAATTTTTTTTCTTTTCTTTTTTTTATTGTTTTTTAAATATTTTTTTCGAAAATAGAACTTTAGTAGTTGTGTAGCAAATGAACATTATTTTAATGGGAAACGCTATATTTAAAACTATAGGAATACTATAATGACAATGTGTTGAGTTCTATGTTCAATCATAATTTTAAATTGTGGTTACTCTATGTAAAAATAAGCAGGATTGTTTTAACGTATATATGTAATATCACATTAAAATACTGAATACAAGTGTATTAACTTGGTTAACTTTTTCGTTGGTTACACATTTTTTTTATAATTTTCTAATTTAATTTGGTGTTGTCTCCCTTGACATATTGCTAGAAATAATTTTAAAAAAAATAACTAATAAAGGCGTATAGAGTATAGAGAGTAATCCGACTAAAATTAGTATTAGCTTGCGCTTATTATATTTAGATTTAAACAAGCGAATATTGCCTGCTGAGGCCTATAGGGCTTGTAAGTCTACGGTCTCGAAATCTACTAGCTGGCAAATACCAGAACGAGAAATTGTGACCTACTTACAAGCCCTATATGCTACAAGTTGGAGTAGGACTAGGTATTCTACTCTTAACCCATTTTGTGATGCCACAGGTGATTTTCTCATATTCTGCTTGCTTTTTTCATTGTCGCCTGTAAACTGTCGTCACAGACGGCTGCTTTCACGGAGGCGGAGTGGAGGGGAGGAGAGGAGTGGAAAGTGAGGGTGAGGATAATCGTCCTTCACTAGCTACTGATAGTGTTTTAAAGCAAAATATTTTCATTCGCAGCATTGGTAGTGTCGAATTCACACATTATAAATTACTGAAAAATAGGAATTAAACTAAACGAGCCGACCCGCTGCGTATGATACGCCGCTATTTAGTTGTTTTATTTTCTACTTTTCAGTAATTTATAATTTGTGAATTCGACAGTACCAATGCTGCCTCTGAAAACACTAAACCCCAACCCCCCCCCCACCCCCACCCCCACCCCCCCCCCCCCCCCCCACGTGAAAGCAGCCTCCTCTTAGTTACCTCCTCTAAGTTTAAAATCGTTTCAAACTAAATTATCTGCCCCTAATAGCCGTCACCAAACCCGTCTCTATGATTGTAAAATGTAAACAGCGTGACCACAGCTCACCAGACAATGTGGGGGTGGGGTGGGGGTGGTAGTGATAGTGATAGAGAGAAAGAGAGGGGACTGCAAGGAGGCGCTTGCAGCTTGTTTTCTAACGGCTCCCAGAAGAGAATTATATATATAGATAGCGGCGTATGCTACGTCGCGGGTCAGCTCGTTATTAATATTTGTACATGGAACGAGAGCCGCATCTTGATATCAAAGGAGCCGCATACGGCTCGCGAGCTGAAGGTTGCCGACCTCTGGACTAGTAGTCTAGATCTCGACCTCAGGCCAAGCCGTTCCCTTTTTTTTCCTTAATTTTTTTTTTCGAAAATAGAACTGGTTAAACCAGGGACGGCAACCTGCGGCTCGCGAGCCACATGCGGCTCTTTTGCCGTAAAGATGCGGCTCTCCTTGCACAAATATTAATAGTTATTTCATATTCAAAGCTCATATAAAATATCATAATGTAAAGAAAAACAACTTTAAACAGAATTAAAACACTTATCAGGGATCAGTTATAACTTATAATTTGTGCGGTAGAAAGTAAACGGACAGCTGACAGCCGCTTGGGCACCAGACCCCACAGCCCCAACTCAATGCTTGCCACAGCCCAAGTGCCGACTTTTTCAAATGTCTTTAAATGGGGAATGTTATTTTATTCAGAATGCACTTCCCCGTATATCAGTAATCATTAATTTGACGTGAGTGACCTAATTTTTTTTTTAGTTATTAGCATCCTACTGTTGAACCGGGTACTGGGCGAGTTTACCCTGTGTTCAGTGGGGTGAAAGATAAGTCTGGTGAGAACCAAAGGACAGAAGCGACCGATACACGGTAATCAAACCGATATCCAAGCCAGTTAGTCGAAGTTAGCCGTGTTGAGGCCTGCCTGGCTAATGGGAGATACATCCTGAGCCGGTGATATCCGTAAAGAAAGAAAAAAAAAATTAGCAGCTTCTAAAGTGGATTGAGATAGTAACGGATAGTCCTATACTTAAATTATTTGATTACTAAGTTTATTATTCTGGCGAAACATGTGTATGGTTTTATATGAATAAATATTATTTCAAAATTAAAGCTGTTTATTTTTAATAATAAAATATTGAAATAAAAAGGTGGTGGCTCTTTAAAAACTGGGAAATTTTGAAAATTCTAACTTTTGGCTTTTCAGTCTCAAAAGGTTGCCGACCCCTGAACTAGTACTTGATCATAACATTCACAATGGTGTAGAACAAGGGTCTCCAAACTACGGCCCGCGGGCCGCATCCGGCCCGCGAGGACATTTTATCCGGCCTGCGACGATCTTTTTGTCCACTGAATAAATGTTTGTTGGAGGTGGCTGAGGAGCTATGCACAGAAAATTCAAAACAATTTGAAAATGTAGCTTCGTGTGCAAATACAATTACTCGCCATGTTGCAGACATTGGTGAAAACGTTGCGACTCAAATAGCGAAAAATTCAAGCAAGTTTCGCCATTTTTCAATTGCAATGGATGAGTCGCCGGGCAGCGGTTCAACCTCTCAACTTTTTGTGTTCATTAGAGGTGTGGATGAAGACATAAACATAACACAAGAGCTGGCTACCCTACATAGAATGTATGACACTGTTACAGAAGAGGATATCTAACCATAGATAGTTCAGAGACAAACACAAAATCGCAAGATTTACCATATGTCACATTAGTAAGATTGCTAATTTGGCGAGAAAATTCTGAGCAGAGTATCTAAGAAAAAAATAGGTGAATTCCTGATAGTAAAGGAAAGTCACAGCCATTATTGTCTGATGAAGAGTGGGTATAGAAACTGGCCTCTGCTGCAGACATAACTAGTCATTTAAATTTTCTGAACCTAAAACGGTAAGAGAGTGAAATCTAGTTTCTGATCTATACACCCACCTAAAGGCCTTTAGATATAAACTTGTCATGTTTTTTGGAACAAGTACATGCTACAACTTGACGCACTTTCAGCAGTGCAAGGTCTTTACGACTGAAGCAACCACTGAGTTCCCCCACGTTATTTACATACGAGATCTTTAAAGACCTCCAGCTGCAGTTTCAGTAGCGGTTTTCTGACATGGATTCAAAGGCAGAAGAAGTGAGACTGTTACAAAGCCTATTTGAAGCAAATGTGGCCAGTTGCAAAGATGAACTGCAGCTGGAGGTCATTGAATTGCAAGAAAATGACTTCCTTAGAGACACGTTCAAAGAAGGGCGGATGGGTTTTCATACGTTTTTGCACAAGGAAGACTTTCCTAACATTAAAACTTTTGCATCAAAGTACCTTTCAAATTTTTGAACAACATACCTGTGTGAACAAACATTTTCAAGAATGAAATACGTGAAGAACAATTTGAGAACAAACGTGGGGGGGGGGGTGTGGGTGGACACTTGAAATTTGTATTTATTTCTATATAAATTATATTTCGTTGAGGGGGGGGGGGGGAAGGGGCAGTGGACGTTCTTCGGGGGGGGGGGGCACGACCCTGAAGAGATGCCTTAAAGAAACTCTGGCCCCCGAACTGATATTTGATAGTTAATGCGGCCCTCGGGCTGAAAAGTTTGGAGAACCCTGGTGTAGAATAAATATAAATGCTCGCTCACAAGATTTTAATAAAGATTTATTTTACATTAACTAATTTCATACTCGCTATATAATACAACAAAGGAGTGGGTCTGTGAAAGTGTCACAAATGTGATTGGTTCTTTTAAAGATGCGCTTATCATTATAAAAAAATCTCAGGTGTTAAGGACAAGTGACACAACCCAACGCATTTTGAAAACAATACTGCAAGGATGGAAGGCGAGGGGAACTAATGAGAAAAAACCACGGGGACTCAACATCACGCATTGGCAATCTTTTTATTTCCCTTAATTGTGACTAGATTATGCGGAGCTGTTACTTTGGAATAAAAATAACGTTGTTGATCTACGTGGGATGGGTAAACTAAGACGAATTTTGTTTAGTAAGATAGCTGATCTCCAATGTGAGAAAGGGCTGACTAATATGAAGGATATTTTATAAAACTGAATGGAGACATTACAATATATAACATTAAAATAGTGAAGTTCAAAATGTCAACAAAATGTGTTATACAACGTGCTTTTTGTATTTACAGAAGAAGAAAAAATGTGTTTTGTGTAACGTCCTATAATTTTTTACAATAGAAACAGCTCTTAAACGTTTATAAGCTATCAGCCAACTATTAAAAAAACAAACAAAAAAATGTCGGATAAAATCCGTAGAGGAGGGGAGTCTTGCAAACTGTAGTCACTTTGGAACAAAATAATCATCATTTTTTAACAGCGTTCCGCTGTATTTGTGCGGGAACTATATATATTGTTCTGGCACACCGGAAGAAAACTATTGTACTTTTAGCCGGTGTGCTACTTTCATTTTCACGGTATGAATGATTGTTATGTCATTGAATGATACAATAAACAATTGGTTATTACAGAGCCGTTGTGTTTTAAGTTAAACGCTACTTGACTTTAAGTGTAATCAGTCATTAGTGTAATGTAGTTACTTCAGAATCTACTTATTGTAACAACCCAGGCTAACTTCTGGCTAAATTTCCACTAAAATATTCCATCGTTCAACTCATGCTTGCCTGGCACACCGCACAGGAAGAGAAGTTCAAAAGTATTTTATAAGTAAGAGAGGCATGAGTGCCTGCCTGACTCAATTAATGAGTAGGCCCTAGTGATGTGTGTTGCTTATTGCTTATCCACTAGCAGGAAAGGGGGGGGGGGGGGGGTTAAGGGCCAGAACCCCATGGGCGCCCAAGGTTGAAAGTGAAAGTTGCAGCAAGTTATTTTTTAAATTTAACTTAAAGCTGTTGACAGATTTGGGGTAGATCTCTAATCTCTATATTATATTATGTCACTGAGTTTGGCTAACATTAATACATTATCATTAACAATGGTGAATGATAACAGTAAAGCTCTTTTTTAAGAATATTTCATTAGCCCCCTATTGATTATTTCTTAATTTTGCCTATTTTGTCTAGTTTTCAAGCTTCTTACCCTATTTTGTGTATTATTTTTCTAGTTTTCAGTGATTTCATGGAAAAACCATGTCTCCGAGGGGCTGTAAGTTAGTGTTAACATTTGAGGAGTCACAACAGTAAAAACACTGTAAATCACACCAAAATGACTACGTGGTGTCGCATTAATGGCCTGATGAGGAGGTACAGACATGGCCAACTTACTGAGATCTCCTCATCTGTACAGTTCCATCTTTTGGAGCGGCATGTTTGGCTGAGGAAGCTATCGTCATGGGGAAGTGTTTTTCTCCAAGTGAAGGGGATACACACAACTAATTATTTATATGCTAAAAAGGCACATCATAAACCAGTAGGTGGCTTGTTACGTTATTTTTTAAATACATGTTTTTTCTGGTACTAATTTAAATTAAGTTCCCTTTTCAAACCTGTAGGGCAAGTGAAGTAGAGTTCACCTGTTTCTGTGACCTCAGCACAGAGACTGTGTGGTCAGCACTATGCCCAGCCACCTTTACTTTCCCTAACGTGGGTTAGGTACCCATCAGAGTTGGGTGGACTCAGGCACGGTCTACTAACTTGAACCCAGATTGAACTCGAGACTCTACCTCTAGACCACTCCGTCCCCAAACTTGAAATTTTGCTGCGGTTTCTTGAGATATGGAGAAAAAACTTTTGAAATTTTTTATTTTCCATAGCCTAACAACAAGAAGTATATCTTGTTCTAGATAGATTTATTTTCAGGGAAGTTAGCTCAATTCTTTTGAAATTTTGTTTAGAATATTTCAGAGCTTCAGTAAATTGTGTTTATATATTTATAAATTAGAGGTGTGTTTTTTTTCAGCGTCAACGTCTAAAAACGAAAAATTCTATCAAATTGGAAAGAGCTTTTGTCCACGGGAATATGACTATTGCTGAGCTTGCTAAGGCCTTAAATAAGCCTCGAGGTCAGACCAACAGAAATATTTTTCTTCTAAAACTTGTACATTTTTTACTGCTAAAACCTGTTTTAACTCTGTTTTTTGTTTGTTGGTATTTTGTTGTTTAATTTCATAGAAAATTGTTAAACAAAATTTCAACTTGATTTTTTATCTTTCACAATTTAAATCAAAGCTGAGAGATTGTATTATGATAATATAGCCCAAAAAGTCTTAAGGTACATATCAAGTGATTAAAACATTTAGTCTAGAACATGCCAAAAAACAATCAAATAACTAAGTTTATAACTCCTGGTGAAATTGTATTCCTTTTGTTGCCCTGGTCACTTAATGATAAAAAGTCTACCCCTTTAAAGTCAGTTATTTCCCCTCTTTTATAGACTACTCTCCTTGGCTCTATCAATAAACTTGTGCAATAGATTCACAGTTTTGTAAGACATTTCACCACCGTTTTTGTTAGGATTTAAAGTTTTATGTAATTAAATTGTCTGTATATCCATTTAACTGATGTAGTCTTATCAATAAAATCACGGTTTTAATTAAAATAAACTTTTTTTTTCTTCTCCAGACCATGTTTATGAGGTTCTCATGTATCTACCAGGAACTGAACGTTATGATCATGATAAAGCTGGTAATTACTTGCAGTGGCGTAGCCAGGATGGTCTCAAGGGGGGGGGGGTTCCAATTTTTACCCGGGGACAAACTTTCCCCCCCCCCCTCCCCCCGCCCCCCTCAAACTTTCGATTTGTACCCCCCTCATACTTTTTATATATATACTATGAAGGGGGGGGGGGGGGTTATGACCCAAAGCCCCTGCCTATGCCACTGATTACTTGACAGAAAAGTTCTTTTCACACTAATTAAACCTCTAGCTTTAAGCTAATTAAATATCTATTGTTATGCTTACCTGTAATTAATTATAACTCTGTCTTTAAGTTTTACTTAAATTAATTATATCTCTAGCTTTCAGTTTACCTTTAATTAATTACACCCCTAGCTTAAAGAAAAAATTTATACCAAAATACTTATGCCACTTGTTTAAAGTTTCATGTAAATTATGATACTAATATTTTATATTTAATGTACCTGTTTGTTTAGATATACTTTACATGGTAACAAAAATTGTATGCAAATTTGTGCTTAAAATCTTTAAAATTCAGACACTTATTTTGCAGTTCTAGACAGAGACACTTTGATCAAAGTTGTCAAAAAGTCTGGCATGGTGCCAGAATTCGTAGCCAAACAGGAAAAAGAAGAAGATGAAAATCGAGACTTTGTTAAACAGTGAGTTTTATTTTAAAGATAAATTTTATTTATTATAGGAAACAGTAGCAAGTTTTATTATTAATTTGCTAAAATTGTAATGAATTAATTTTACTGTAAAAGGTAGCCCTCCCTTAACCCTGTCTTAACTATGTCTACATTTGGCATTGAAATAATACTTTATGTCTACATTGTTATCTCCTAACCCAGGGGTCGGCAACCTTTTGAAGTGGAAGAGCCAAAAGTTACAATTTTCAAAATTTCCCTGGTTTTAAAGAGCCACTAACATTTTTTTTTATTTCAAATATTTTTTTTTTTTTAAGATTATTGGTATTTGTTCAAGGAGCTGGAGAGCCGCATCTTGATATCAAAAGAGCCGCATGCGGCTCGCGAGCCGCAGGTTGCCGACCCCTGTCCTGACCCAAGCATTTTAGTTAATTGTATGTTGTGGCCAGCAGACTATGAATGTTGATTTTGTTTCCAGACCTCCCCCAGACCCAAGTGTCTTAGTCAAACGACCGCCTGTTGTTACAATAATGGGACATGTCGATCATGGGAAGACAACTCTGCTGGACAAGCTAAGAAATTCAAATGTCGTAGACCAAGAATTTGGAGGCATCACCCAGCACATTGGAGCTTTTCGAGGTTTGTTTCTAACTCTTCTAGTTTTGTTTTGCTAATTTTTTGAGTTCCCAATTTTAAAAGATTTGTTTTCCAAACTTTTTGAGGTTGTTTCCAACTTCTTACGCCTGTTGGATAATGTAGAATAACTTACTAGATAAGTTGCAATTCTCTGATGTACTGTAATATATTTTATTATTGGCACTAATTTTTTTCAGCTATCTTAAAATATTTAACTTATATATGTTAAAATATTTAACACTTTTTTTGTGTTGTTGAACATCGACTTCTTTGTTGTTTATTTAACTTGTTGTCTATTCTGTCATGTTACTGTATTACTGTTGTTTTACAGTATTTAAATTGTTAAACTTTATGTCAAGTTACAATATTTAAATTGTCGATTTACAGTAATTAATTTGTCAACTTTTACCTAACATTGATAAAAGTATATAACGTTTCAATTTTATAGTGGTTTTACAAACTGGAGAAGCCATTTGTTTCCTGGACACCCCAGGGCACGCCGCCTTCAGTTCCATGAGGGCCAGGGGAGCTCACCTGACAGACATCATTGTTTTAGTTGTGGCTGCGGACGATGGCGTTATGCAGCAAACTTTAGAATCTATACACCATGCACAAGATGCCAAAGGTTGGTTAATTGTGTCTGGAAATTCTGTGTTTATTTATAACATTATTTCCTTGAATTTTAATTGTTGCAAATGCTACATAACCAAATATAAAATTCTCCCATCAAATTTTGTAACAATTTTATTTAAATTATTCCACAGTTCCGATTATCGTTGCCATAAATAAAATTGACAAGAACAATGCCGATGTTGTAAGTGTATTACCAGCATTGCCGTTATAAATGTTTTAAGTTAATGAAACATCTGATACAGAATTAGTAGTTTGATGAATTCATTTGCTTGTTTTTTAATAATTTGGTAAGGTGTTAACTGTTCTCTGTTTCAGTCAAGAACCAAGCAGATGTTGCTGGAGCATCAGATACAGCTGGAGGAGTTTGGAGGGGATGTCCAGGCTGTTCCCATATCTGCCCTTAAGGTACACCTTGATATAGAGATACCCCCCCCCCCTTTACTGTCATATACATGCGAAGTTGAGTTCCACCAGTTTCTGTGACTACTGCATTTTTAGGGATAGCGTAGACCTTTACGTGAATGCTTAAAATTGTGTGGTTTTGAGACAGCATGGTTGAGGGGTAGAGAGCTTGAGCGCTAGCGTTAAAGTCATGTTTTTGGCTTCCGACTAGCGTTTGTTTGATGTTCCAGAGATAATCAACATCTGATGAGTACCTCACATTAGTTTTTGAAAGCAAAGGTGTTTAGGCATGGCACTGACCACACATCAGCTTTTGTTGACTTGACTCCTGTAGGCTTTCACTGGCACGTGGTGCTGTCAATGAAGAATTCTGTCCACAATATTGTGTATAGTTTCTGAAAGCTTTCATCGACAGATGAGTGTTTGGTCCCAGAATAGTGTAAAAATATTTGTTTCTGGCAGGGGTTTTTGTTTTGTGAAAAAAAGTTAGACTGCCCATGAAAATCTGCTGTCTCTTTGTCATTTATTATTTAAAAAAACATAATACATGTGCTAATAGCTGTTTTTACTTTATGCATGGGGCTGAACTTGAAAATTGAATCAATCTCAATCAATGCATTGCAAAATATTTTATTTTGTTAAAACATTTTCAAGTATAAGGATGAGATTTACCAAAAAAAGGTTATTCAACTATCCAAAAAATATTTGTTTAATTGTGCCCATGTAATAATAAAAGAGACAGTGTGGCTTAGTGGTAGAGCCATAGGCTGCTCACCTCAAAATCTTGAGTATCAAATTCTGGGTTCAGGTCAGTAGAACGTAACTGAGGCCACTCAGCTCTGATGGGTACCTAACTCTTGTTAGGAAAACAAAGGCGACTGGGCATAATGCTGACCATATTATCCCCTTGTATGCCAAGGTCATTGAAACAGATGAACTCTATTTCATCTGCCCCATGTGTTGTCTTGGGCAGCAACAGGAAAAGTTGATGATGTATAATAAAGAGCTACACCCCCCCCCCCCCATATTTACCCCCTGGGTAATTACCTTCCTCTTCCCCAGCCCCCCCACCCACCCACCAAGATAGAATCCTGATTCCAACTTTATACCTATATATTACTTTAATCCAACCCTAAGACAGGCAAAAAAACCTAACAATTCACCTCACCCTTAAATTAACCAAAAACCAACTCTAGACATTGATTTAAGCCTTACCCTAGACCAAACTCTAACCCTAGCTGAACCTTAAACTATGACTGGGGGTAATATCCTACTGGGCGGGGGGTAATTACTCCGGGGGGGGACGTACGAGGGGTAATTGACTGGGGGTAATGCCCTGTTCCCATAATAAAAATCCTAGATATAGAACTATGTTCAATTAACATTGAATAATTTATGCTGAATAAAACTAATTAAAACTAATTTTTGTATCCAACTAACAGGGAACTAATTTGCTGGAGCTTCAAGAGGCCATAGTTACACAAGCTGAACTTATGAACTTGAAGGGGGATCCTGTTGGTCTAGTCGAGGGGAGGGTGGTTGAAGCCAGATTGGATGAGAAACGAGGGTACTTTTTGTTCTCTCCCCTTGTTTATATTTTTGTGTTATTTAAACTGTCCATGACAGCCTGTTAATTAATAATTTCTCTCATGTCTTTTATTTTATATTGTCTTTGCGTTGGTATGGCTTTTTAATTGTTTCAGTTAAATTTTATGTTATATATTTTACTTATTGTTTTGTTTTTCTGCAATCCTGCCTCTGGCTTGATAGTTAAAAAATGTTTTGTCATATCATTTATATTTTGTTTCATTTGATTTTGATCCTGGTTGGCTTTTTTAAAAATATTTTTGTAATCTCATTTACATTTTGTTTCATTTAATTCTTGTTTCTGGTCCTGGTTGACTTTTTAAAAACCCATTTCAGCCGACTGGTTACTGCAGTAATCCAGCGTGGAACATTGAAACGTGGTGATTTCTTGATAGCCGGGACTGCATGGGGCAAGGTACGTTCATACGTGTCTGTGGGTTTTTTTATCCCGCTTTTGTCGTCTTAAAATATCGTTTCACCTTTGTTGCAATCAGATTTGTTAACATTAATAGAAAGTGCAAGAGTATGAAGAAAGTTACCCTTTCAGACCTCATGGATAATAGTGCAGGTGAAGTAGAGTTCACCAGTTTCTGCCCCAATGGAAACTTGTCAATTCTGGCAAGTGTCCATAGTGGCATTCGGGCAAGTGTCTTTTGGGAATTTGTCGTAAGCCCGACCTCAGCATATGAAAGGATAGTGTGGTTAGCTCCATACACAGGCTCCTTTACTTTCCCGAATGTTGATTTGATTCAGGGACGTCTTACAGATTTTTGCCTGGAATCCAAACTCGAGACTTATTAGTCTCTACCACCCAGTTAAGTCAACCCATAGTGCTAATGTAATGCATCTAGTAAATTTTATAAAAAAAGGTCTTGTACTGTTTTTGATTGCCAAAATGCCTAATTTATTATTAAAAGAGTAAAATTAAATACAATATTGAAAAAATAATTGGAGTGCTTGTGATTATTGTTTGATCACTTCTATGGAAGGAGAATGTTTGAACACTTCTATGGAAGGAGAATGTTTGATCACTTCTATGGAAGGAGAATGTTTGATGAAGTTTGCTTTATTTCACCTAGGTCAGGGCTATGTTTGATGATAAAGGCAACCCTATTCAGGCCGCGCCCCCCAGCACACCTGTGGAGATTCTGGGCTGGAAAGAAACCCCCTCGGCTGGTGAAGAAATGTTGCAGATCAAAGAAGAGGTTTGTTTAACGTTACTTCCTCTCGTTTAACTAAATATACTTTAAAAAAGAAGAGATCTGTTTAACATAACTTCCTATCATTTATCTAAATATACTTTAAAAAGAAGGTTTGTTTAACATAACTTCCTCTAATTTATCTAAATAAACTTTAAAAAGAAGAGGTTTGTTTAACATTACTTCCTCTCGTTTAACTAAATTTTCTTTAAAAAGAAGAGGTCTGTTATAATAATATTACTTCATCTCATTTAACCAAATATACTTTAAAAAGAAGAGGTCTGTTTAACATTACTTCCTCTTATTTAACTATACATACTTTAATATAAGTATACTTTATTGTTAGGGTTAACATTATGAGGTATAAAACACTGTAAATGACAATAATAGATTTTGAAAATATATCGGAAAAAAAAAATGACAGTTAAATTTATATTAATCCAATCCCAGTTAAAGTCACTCCCTGTCCTTTAAAAATTTCACATTTTTTTCAAAAAGCCTTGTTACACCTTGTTTACACTTGCAACATGTATATTATACATGTCTGGAAAAAGAAACTCGCAACAATTTAAAGTTATATGAAAATATTTTTCCTACGTAACATGAATTATACTTATTTTTTTTTGTATGTTATGCTAGTCCTGTCCCTTTAAAAAATTGACAATTAATTTTTTTATTTTTCCAGTCCCATAATTTTTTTAGATTCTTCCAGTCCCATAACTTTTTATTCCTCCAGTCCCATAACTTTTTATTCCTCCAGTCCCATCATTTTTTTAAATTCTTCCAGTCCCATAATTTTTTTAAATTCTTCCAGTCCCATAACTTTTTATTCCTCCAGTCCCATCATTTTTTTATTCTTCCAGTCCCATCATTTTTTTATTCTTCCAGCCCCATCATTTTTTTATTCTTCCAGTCCCACATTTTTTTATTCTTCAAGCCCCATCATTTTTTTTATTCTTCCAGTCCCACATTTTTTTATTCTTCCAGCCCCATCATTTTTTTTTATTCTTCCAGTCCCATCATTTTTTTATTCTTCCAGCCCCATCATTTTTTTATTCTTCCAGTCCCACATTTTTTTATTCTTCAAGCCCCATCATTTTTTTTATTCTTCCAGTCCCACATTTTTTTATTCTTCCAGCCCCATCATTTTTTTTTATTCTTCCAGTCCCATCATTTTTTTATTCTTCCAGCCCCATCTTTTTTTTATTCTTCCAGCCCCATCTTTTTTTTATTCTTCCAGCCCCATCATTTTTTTTATTCTTCCAGTCCCATCATTTTTTTTATTCTTCCAGCCCCATCATTTTTTTTATTCTTCCAGTCCCATAATTTTTTTATTCTTCCAGCCCCATCATTTTTTTTTATTCTTCCAGTCCCACATTTTTTTTCTCTTCCAGTCCCAGTTAAAGTCTGTCCTGGCGTGGCGCAATGCCCAGAAGATGAAGCAGAAGCAGGAGGAAGACCTCGTGGTCATCACGGAGAGGAGGGACGAGTACTACAAGAACTACAGGGCCGACCTGGTGGAGCGCAGGTCCAAGGGTTTCTACAGGCGGAAAAAACCAACGGGTCCCAGGTCCAAGGAGCTTGTGGACGATACCGACCCTCACTTCTCTATTGTGTTAAAAGGTAAACGCCTCCCCTGGTGTTTGATAATCAGTTATAAGATTGGTCTTGGGTATCAAGAGTCAGCAGTTAGATTTGTTTTTTGTTAATGAATATAAAGCGTCAGCAGTTGTATTTTTAAAATGCAAAAGAACTCTTATGGTGCATTTTTAAACTTCTTTATAAAACGAGCCAGCCCGCGGCATAACATACGCCGCTATTTAGTTGTTTCTAATTTTCAATAATTCATAATTTGTGAATTCGACAGTACCAACGCTGACACTGAAAATATTTCTTTAAAACACTATAAGTAGCTCGTTAAGGACCATAACCCCCCCCCCTTCCTTCCCTCCCCCCTCCCCCCCCCCCCCCCCCCCCCCCCCTACGTTTAAAATCGTTGGCTCTGCTTGTAAACATTTAGAGTGAACACAGCTCACTAAAACCATGTAGGGGTGGGGAGGTAGGGAGAGCGTTTGCAGCTTGTTTTCTAACGGCTCGAAGAAGAGAATTATATATATAGATATGAAAGTGTGACATCAGATATTTTAAACACTTCTCCATTTTGTCATGCATTGTAGTATGTTATGATGCATCATATTACATTATGAAGTGTCTGCACAGAGTAAAATGCCTGCCACCCAGCCTCTTGTGGCTGCACAGAGTAAAATGTTTGCCACCCAGCCTCTCTGGGTTAGGGAAGAAGAAAACCAATTTTCTTTTCCCACTGCGCATGCTTATTTTGTTCTGGCTAGAATCTACTATTATGTTATGTATGGCCCCAACTTTAGACAGCTGCCCAGAACAAAGTCCTTTTGAAAAGTAGGAGGTCTTTTCTCCACAGGTGACTCACAGGGTTATTTAAGTCATTAAGTCACTTTAATCATTAAGACATCTAAGTCATCAAGTCAACTAAGTCATTATGTTACATGTGTTCACAGGGGATGTGGATGGCTCAGTGGATGCTATCCTGGATGTCCTAGACACCTTCCACTCCAAGAAATGTCAACTGGATATCATCCATTTTGGCGTGGGCAATGTCACAGAGTCAGATATTGAAATGGCAGCATCTTTTGAAGGTAAACTTCTTGACTGTTAACTTTTGAAGGGTTAACTTTTTACATGAAACTTTAAGGTATCTGTAAACTTGTGACTGTTAACTTTTTTACTGTTAACATTTTGAAGGTTAACATTTTGGCTGTAAACTTTTTAATAGAAGAAAAAAATCAGTTGAACTGAATCATGCGATGGTCTGAGACGTCACCAAGTAGTAAAACAAAATTATATTATGGCCATTGCTCTTTCACCCCTAAGTTATTTTTATTATATACCAAGATCACAGAAACAGGTGAACTCTACTTCACTTGCCCCATGTACCGTCATGTTCAAAAAAAAAATGTTACTTTTTTCTTTTCTTTTTTTTATTAAACTTGAAAAAATTTATTAAACCTTGTTTATATCAGAAGGAAAAATATATATTTTAGTCTTGTATATTTGTTATGTAAGAAATGAAAAGGATGTTTAACCTTGTAGGCCCTTTTATGTTGGTAATGTTAGAAGGGAAATTGTATTTTGTCATGTAGCTTGTTTCAGCTAAATTGTATTCACTTGTGTTATTTCTTGCCTAAAGTTGCAGGTATGAAATAAATATTGCATCGTCTTGCAGGTGAAATCTACGCTTTCAACGTGACAGTGCCTGATAAAGTGGCCTCCCTTGCCAAGAGTAAGAATGTTCCTGTCAAGAAGTTTAATATTATCTATCGTCTGTTTGAGGATCTGGTAGTCGAGCTCAACAAAAAATTACCCAAAATTGAGGAAGAGACTGTAACAGGTACAGAACTCTTCTGTGCACGAAAAGTAGATTTGTTTGTTTGACTACTGCTGAGAAGATTTGTACTAAACTAAAAGATCCTTTGACTATAGAAATATATGGTCTGTAAGGATGCTTACTATGTGCTACATGTTTTAAGATTTAATGTTGAATATAAAATTTAGGTACTTGGTGCACCCAACAAATAATTAAAGGTAAATGGCAAGCCATTGCTGTTTAGTGGTTGGTTTGTTTTCAGACATCTTTCTGGGGGAAGGCAGTGACTGCTCTCCCCCTCAAAGCATGTCGACCACAAATAAATTGAAAGGTTGAGGGGGGGGGGGGGTGCAAATCGAAATCTTGAGGGGGGGCTGCGCAAATCGAGAAGTTTGTCCCCGGGCGCTGGGAAGGGTTGCTACTACGCCTCTGCCAACTGGAATAACAATGTGTAGGATATTTTAAAATACCTTTTTTTATATGGTAACTAAGCACTTCCTAGCTAAAAAAAATGTAATTATATAATAATTAATTTAATTAAAACATTATGAATAACCGAATAAATACTAAATGCATAGAACCTAATCCATTACCTTCCAATTAACCCTGTTACTCAAGTTTTGTGAGGATATGAGTTATGTATACACCTTTCTGACTTTTCACATTAAGCTTACTCAAGGGTTCTTAGCCTGGGTTTGATTGAACCTCAGGGGTTCAGAGTGTTGGTCTCAGGGGTTCGCCGAAGGTCAAGACACACACCCGACTAATATGACTCACGATGGGATTTAGTCAGTGCGGATGATAGAACTATCAAGAAGGGTTTGGTGAATGCGCATATGAAACTGGTTAAGAACTACTCTTATTTAAGGGGGAAATACTCTGAACGTAACCCTTGCAATATTCAGGATTTACTGTTTTGTTATCTAATAGAGGAAAGGATAAACATTAGTGACTACAAATTTCCTCTCTGCTTCATTATAATGAATTTTCATCTGAGAGGTAATTTACGCAGTATTAAACCCCATTTGAAATGTTTATGTTTGTTTCATACCTTCAGGGCAAGCTAAAGTGTTGCAAGTTTTTCAAGTCACCCTCCCCAATAAAAACAAAGCCAATGTGGCTGGGTGTCGGTGTATCGAAGGAAACATGTCAAAAAAACTTGGGGTCAAGGTTATTAGAAATGATGAAACAGTATATACTGGTAAGACAAAATACAGCGTCTTTAAAAACTTTATTTACCAATTATTGGAGACTTTTTTTTTAACTTTTTCTTACTATAGGGACCTTAACTACACTGTCTTGAATCCTAACTACCTATCCTGAAGCCTATATTCACTCTCTTGAACCCCTTCTAAATACACTGTCCTGAACACAAACTACATTGTCCTGAGCCCCATCTACGTTGTCTTGAATCATTTCTAACCACATAGTCCTGATGTAATGAAATTTTACAATGTTGTCAGCTTATTAGTAAATGAAATGTTACAATCTTGGAAGCTAAATTAGCTAATGAAATGTTACAATCTAGCTAATGAAATGTTACCATCTTGGCAGCTAAATTAACTAATGAAATGTTACAATCTTTGCAGCTAAATTAACTATTGAAATGTTATTATCTTGGCATCTAAATTAGCAATTGAAATGTTATTATCTTGGCAGCTAAATTAGCTGATGAAATGTTACAATCTGGGCAGCTAAATTAGCTAATGCAATGTTACAATCTAGGCAGCTAAATAAGCTAATGAAATGTTACAATGTTTGCAGGTAAAGTAGTATCCCTGAAGCACTTTAAGAATGAAGTCGACAGTGTAAAGAAAGAACAAGAGTGCGGCCTGTCTTTAGATGACCCCAACTTTGAGTTTCAACCCCAAGACATCATTGTCAACTATGACATCAAGTTGATTGAGCAAGAAATTGACTGGGATCCTGGGTTTTGAGCTGACTGACAACTAAATTGACTGGGATCCTGGGTTTTGAGCTGACTGACAACTCAATTTACTGAGTTTTTAGGGCATGTTGACTGATAAATACATTGTGAAAAATTTTCAGACCATGTTAAGTAACCGATACAGTTAGTGTTTTTTATAGGTCATGTAGGTTGACTAATGCATGGACTGGGTTTATAAAGTACATGCTGACTAAATGCATTGACCGACTTTTTTGAAGGCCATGCGGACTAATGAACTGACTGAGTTTTTAGCTAACATCAACATAATTGATCTATTGATTTTGTTAATAAATTGTAATGTTATTAAGTGTAAATATGTGGTACAATTTATGTCATAATTAAAGTTAGGTAATATATTGACAATTTTTGTGTTGCTTGTTGATTTCTTTTCATTGTTTGGTTGTATGTGGTTTACTTACATTTTTAATACATTGAGGAAAATGTATTCATTAGACACTCATTTATTTTTAAAAAAAACGTCACACCATGTTTACACTTGCGACATGTATACTATACATGTCTAGAAAAAAAAAATTGCCAGTTAATGTTAAATGAAAACAATTTTCCCATGGAACATGTATACTTACTTGTTGCAGGTTATATTTTAGGCATGTATAGTATAAATTAGTATAATAACATTTTGTGGCAAATGTAAACGCTGTGTTACAGATAATAAAACTACATAAATCTAGACTGATTTGCCTAGTTATAATGTAGGCCTATTTACTTAGCACAATCAAGAATTCATTAACTAAGGGTAGCCTAGTCCATTATACGACATACTGTTATTTAGTCAGTTTTTTTTCTCACAGGCATTCTTGTCAGCCCCACCCACGTCCATCTTAATTATGTCGTCCGTCTCCCCCCCCCCCCCCCCCATCAGGAAAAAATCTTTTCTTATTTGTGCCAGATGAAGTAGAGTTAATCTGTTTCAATAACCTCGGTATATAAAGGGATATTGTGGTCAGCACTAAGCTAAACTGCCTCAGTTTCCCTTACGTGAGTCAGGTACCCATCAGAGCTGGGTGGACTCAGGGGCATCTTACAGACTCCAGTCCGTGATCCCAACTCAAGACTTACAATTTAGCAGTTTAGCGCTGTACCTCTAGACCACGCAGGACAAAATAGAAAAATATTGAGGTTAAATAATACAAGAAAACCTGGTGCTAACTACGCTGTTGGCTCCTCTTACCCCCCCCCCCCCCCCCCACACATACACACTCCCCCCCCCCCCCATTCTAAATCATCACAAAAAGTCAATAAATTACTTCTAAAATGACATCAACAACAAAGCATTTCTCACCCACAAAAACTCATCACAGAAGTCTAAACGCTACCCCTTTCCTCCACCCCCCCTTCTCCACCCCCCCCCCCCCCAAAAAAAAACAGGTATGTGACGCCATTTATTGTACAGTGCCCTGTATATACATTTCCAAACAGGAAGCACTACGAAGCTACGTGCACTATGACATAACCGGGTCAACACCACCTCCCCGGGGCACCATGGCCAAGGCTACTTACTAATCAACAACAACACGGGCAGTTGACCTTCGTTCATCCAATCAAGTCTTCACTGCGTGCGATATTGATTGCAGTTCGCATTAAGACGGTGTGCACCCCCACACACACACACCAATTCTGTCATACATAGAATTTTGTTTCAGATTTACGTCATGGTCCGTATTTTTTTAGCGCAATTTTCATACGGATAATTGCGATTATTAATTCGTTCTGGATGGATGTGTGTCCGCAGCTTTAAGTCGTATCTCCTCCTCAACGAAGCAATATCGAGGACTAGTTTCAAAGCAAATATGTTAAGCAAGTTCCGAGGATGATTGTGGGCCAACAGTTTTTGGCCCATATCTCGGCAACCAGACCACTTAGCTACTTGAAACATTTACAAATCGATTCCTGCCATAATTTAGAACAATATTGCCGAAGAAAGTTTTCAAAAATATCCTTTCGTTCGGTCACAAAAAATTAATTAAGGAAATTGCGCTTAAATTGTCACTAGACTTTTTATTAACTTGTTTTTTTTTAAATTCGGTCACAATGCTGACAATATTTGTCTGTGAAATGGAAAAAAATTACTAGTAGACATAATACTATGGTCAGCAGTAGCGTAGCCAGGATCGTCTCATGGGGGGGTTCAAATTTTTTCCGGCAATTTATATATATCAGAGGCGTATATATATATATATATATATATATATATATATATATATATATATATATATATATATATATATATGTATATACCTACGCCACTAATGGTCATTATCTACTGCAGTGTAATGATAGGAATACGTGTTAGCTAACTTTAACCTTTGTACGCATCCCCCCCCCCCTAAAAAAAAGGTCAATTATTATATAAGAAAAAAATTCATGTTTTTTAAAAGTACCTTTACTCGTGGAAATAAATCATTGTATAGTATATTTGAGGGGTTCCAAAATTTAGGTGTGATAAGACTAGGTATAGTAAAATTAATCGGTCCTAAAAAATTGACGTTATTTATTTACAACCGTTTATTTTTCTGCTGAGCTCGTTTTTTTTTTGTTTTTTTTTTTCTAGATTTAGAAGAATTTACTTTAAATAATGCAGATATTTTATGAATTTCTGCAGTTATCTTTATTTTAGTAAATGACATAACACCGCAATTAAACGTTGGCATTGAAAGTGATAAGAGACCGCTCTTTTGGGCGGTTCAAACAATCTAGTAAGATGTCATTGAGTCCACCCAGCTCTGTTGGGTACCGGACTCGCGTAAGAGAAATCAAAATGCGTCTAGGCGTAGTGTTGACCACATTATCTCTTCACACTATCAGAGTTTCTTCCAGGCATCTCTTCGGGGGGGGGGGGGCTTTGCCGCCCTCCCCCCGAACGAAATGAAATTTATATAATTTATATAGAAAATATATACTTTTGACAGTGTCCGCCCCCCCCCCCCGAAGAAAGTCTACCGCCCCCCCCCCCCCCCGAAAATTTCAAGTGCCCCCCCCCCCCCCCGGAGAAAAAAGTCTGGAAGAAACACTGCACACTATCAGTTCAAGGGAACAGGTGAACTCTACTTCATAGGACCCTGGACCTTCAGGTTTTAAAGAGTACTTTACTTTTTAAAAAAAAAAATAAACTTTTAAATATTATAGTATATTTTAAACGGACCAGTCTGTTGTTTTTTTTTTCTTGTGTTTTGCAGTATAACAACACTGTACACATTTTAAGACAATAGAGTTTAATCGAAATTAATACATTTTTTAAAAAATTTAGTTATCTAATAGATAGGATTTTGAATTCTCTCCCCCTCCACCATTCATTGGCCGGTCTCCACCTCCACCCCCCTTAACCGCAATAAAGGACCCAGCGTAAATGCAGTTCTGCTGGGACAAAACCGGTTAGTAAAAAAAAAAAAAAAATAAGCCACTTCACGTTGGCGGTGTGTTGGATAATATCAGGGGTTCCCAAAGTGGGGGATAGGGGGGTTGGGGACTGGAATGATCCAGTAGGGGAGAGAAGCCTTGGCAGAATTTGAGATCTGTTGGATGCTTTATGGGAAAAAACGGTAGTCTCCCTCTTGACAAAAATCTATATATATATATAATTCTCTTCTTGTAGACGATAGGAAACACCAAGCTGTAAGCACGCTCCCTACCACCCCCCACCCCTACATGGTCTGGTGAGCTGTGGTTCACGCTAAATGTTTACAAACGTAGAGCCGGGTTTAGTGACGACTATTAGGGGCAGATAATGTAGTTTGAAACGATTTTAAACTTAGGGGAGGTAACTAAGAGGAGTTTGCTTTCAAGGGGGTGGGGTAGGGGTTGGGGGAAAGGAGGGGGTATCGTCCTTAACGACCATCCGATAGTGTTTTTAAAGCAAATATTTTCAGTGGCTGCATTGGTACTGTCGAATTCACAAATTATGAATTACTGAAAAGTAGAAAATAAAACTAAATAGCGGCGTATGATACGCCGCGGGTCGGCTCGTATATATATAATTCTCTTCACGGAGACCATACAAAACACCAAACAGCTTAGCCACCACCCTCATCCCCACCTGTCAGGTGAGCTATGGTTCACCCCAAATGTTTGCAATAGTAGAGCCGGGTTCGAATAAGTGACGGCTATTAGGGGCAGATAATTTAGTTTTTAAACTATTTGAAACTAAGGGGAGATAATAAGTTCTGCTTGATATTTTCATTGTCGTCTGTAAACGGCTGCTTTCACTGGGCGGGGTAGGGGTGGGGTGGCAGGGGGGGTGGGGTAGTTTCGAATTCACAAATTATGAATTGTTGATAAGTAGAAAATAAAACAAACTAGATGGCGTATGCTACGTCGCGGGTCAGCTCGTGATAAACATTGGTTAAAAATGGATTGTTTCATATAAAAAATTAACAGATTGTATATAACCATTTTTTTTCAAACCTCAAGATTCTTTTTTATTTGCATATTTCATGTACAAGGGATCGCTTAACTAGAAGAAATAGGAACCAGTGTTTCTTCCAGACTTTTTTCTCCGGGGGGGGGGGAAGGGTGGCACTTGATATTTTCGGGGCGGGGCGGTCAACATTTTTCGGGGGGAGTAAATTGTATGTTTACTATATAAAATCCATCTCGTTCGGGGGAGGGGGGGCACTTGATATTTTCGTATTTTCGGGCGGGGGGGGGGCGGTCAACATTTCTCGGGGGGGGGGGGGGGGGCGGACACTAGTAAATTGTATGATTACTATATTAAATCCATCTCGTTCGGGGGGGGGGGGGGGGGGGAGGGCGGTGAAGGCCCCCCCCCCCCCCCAAAGAGATGCCTCGAAGAAACTCTGATTGGAACCGGGTGGTAGGGCGCTCATCTGTTAATCCTAAAATATCGAGTTCGAATCTCCAGATAAATTGGGCCTCCGTTGGAGGGTACAATTTTTTAAAAAAAATGTGTTTACCTTGGTGGCATCAGATCTAGGATTAAGGATTTTCTGCCAACCCCACACTTCTACCACACAGCAAATCAAAGCCGACCACACAGAGAGAAAAACCACACACAGGCAGATTACGGCGAAAGAAAGTGCTTTTAACCTGCTTTGCCTCAGACAGAGTTTCTTTCGGGCTTTTCTTTCGTCTACCCCCCCCCCCCTCCCAAACGAAATAGAATTTATATAGAAAATATATACTTTTACCAGTGAAAGACACTCCCCCCCCCCCCCGGAAAATTTAGTTCGCCTCCACCCCTATCAAAAATCACAATTTCAAGCCCCCCCCCCCCCATACTCTGGAGGAAAAACGTCTGTAAGAAACACTGGTTTCAGAGATTGTACAACAAGACATCTTATATAACATAAAAATAAAAGCATATATATATATATATAT